TGGGGAAAAAGCGCATGTCCCCTGGCAGGGGCAGGGCCAGGTTCATCTGCCCTCTGTGATCCCCAGCCACAGTGAGGAATGCAACAAATGGTGCACTTCCACCTTATTCCCTGCAGAAGAAGAACAGCAGGCAATGTTCCTGTACCAATTGGGGGGGGGGGACGACTCCAGCCCTCCCACCCTCCCTAAGGAGCACCTGAGGTGTGGGAAGCTTGGGGATAGGGCAGTCCCAGATGGGAGAGAGTGCCCTGAGCCAGCCACTTTCACGTCTGGTGATTCTAGATTTTTTCTGTTTGCTTTAAGGAGAAACCATCCCATTCCAGATACATCCCATTTTCCTGGCACAACCAAACCCTTACCTTGCTTCAAGTTATGATAAGAGGACGCTGTATTATAAATTTGATGGTTCTTGCTCTTACAGTTTACGAAGAAACAAAAGACAGGACTGTGCAGCACTTTAAAGACTAACAAAATGGTTTATTAGGTGATGAGCTTTCATGGGCCAGACCCACTTCCTCAGATCAAATTGTGGAAGAAAACTGGCACGACCATATATACCAAAGGAATACAATCAAAAAAAGTGAACAAATATAAAATGGACAAATTGGATTTTAGAACAGAGGGGGAATGAAGGGGGGAGGTTAGTGTCTATGAGATGATATTACGGGTGATAATCGGGGAAGTTATCTTTGTAATGGGTAAGATAATTAGCATCTTTGTTGAGGCCCATTTGTAAAGTGTCAAATGTAAGCATGAATGACAGTTCAGAGGCTTCCCTTTGTAGTCTTGTGTTAAAGTCTCTTTGAAGCAGGATGCATGTAGTGAGGTCGTTGAGACAATTCCCAGTCTGGTTGAAAGGCAAGAAACAGTGCAGAGAATCTAATCTCAAACATATAAGTTGAACCATCTAGTAAAAGAGTTTTGATCACACACTTTAACAAAGGTGGATATTCTAAACCATCTTTCAACTAGAAATTCCACCTGTTTCACTCAAAAATTCCCGGAAGAGTGATTTTTTTAATTGAATGCCCAGTGTCCTATCACTCTGACATTCAATTAGTTTCTCCCAAATGTCATTTGAGAGACAGAACAAGGTCACTACATCAGCTACACAAGGTTGGATAATTCAGGCATTTAGGGGTGTATTTCCTTCAAAACAATAGAGCAATATTGCCAACCCCAACTGTTCAAAAATCATGTCAGGCTCACCAAAAATCATGACTTTCGCTTTAAACTCATGACATTATTTAAAAATAATAGATTTGGTATGCTTTTTATTCACCTTCTGCCTCTTAAGCTCACACTGGCTCCACGAACACTCAGTAATTCATATTCTGTTTCATGAGTAGTATCAGTTAACCACAGGAATGGAATGCCTACACCAGTTTTATTCTTTGTTTTCCAGAGATTTAACTGTCTCCTGAATGAAAATATCTTGTTGTACAGGACAAAAAGAAAAAAAAATCTTGCTGCTCCCCTCAGTGAGACATTTAGAAAAGTCAGTTTATCAAAAATATCAGCAAAGTAAGCCAAAAGCACACCCATTGGGGATCACATACTGGCTGCTTTGCTGATACTATAATCCGCTAGAGAAAGTCAAATTTTGTTTCTCAGTTCATAAACATATTGCAACACTTTCCCTCAATAGCCACATGACTTCCACATGAAGCAACAAAGTACTGTGCTCCACACCCATTTCTGCACACAACATTGCAAAGAGTTGCGCCCTTGTGGGCTGCATCTTGATAAAGTACTTTTTTTATAGCAGAATTCTGAACATCAGTAATTTCCTGATCCATGTGACAAGTTGCAAGGTCTTTGTGCTGTATTGGCACCAAGCAATTTGAAACCCTCTAGACACAGAAGAGCCTCCACCAGTGAAGAGTCCAACACAGGCTTCCCACTTGAACTCACAAGAAGTTAGGAATTTGTTGAAAATATTAACCAGTTCAGATCTGGTTGCAGGCATTTCAACTGTCTTGCAGAACATAAAATCTTCCAATACTGATATTTTCTAAGAGTACCCAACATAAGTAATTAAAAGAGCTTTTGATATATTTGTTGCTTCATCCAACTAGATTCCATTTAACTGGATGACAACTGAGAGATCAGCTGTGCATTGATAGTTTTCTGACATGTCAGGGATTTGGCAGCTGACCATGTTGTCTGATAGCGATGTGGTTTTTCATTTCTCTGCTGCGCTGTCACCAGCCATTGTCCTGCAAATATCAGCTGCAGTTGGGATAAACATTTTTTTCCTAGTTGTCTAAGGCTTTTTATTTTAGGCATTGTGGTTTGTAACTTGATATGATGATTTAAAGGCATGCAGGATTGGATGACATATTTTTCAATGTGTTTGTTAATTTCTTGTAGCTTTCATTAAAAAAAATCTCTGTTCTTTCTTGTCAGATCGCCATGTTTCATTTCTAAAGGGCATATTCATTTCGTTGGCTTCAGGCTATCATTTAGTAAAGTGTATACATTACACTTCAAGGTCTAATTTCGCTGTTAACTGTAATGA